GAGAACTATCCAAAAGTTGGGAATAGCAGACAATTCGATTGATTATTGTATATCGTTATTATTAATAAAGATTTATAGTTCTGCAAAGCGACTGTTAAAAATTTTCACCTTCTTAAAATGTTAGTACAAGTCACATTATCAACCGTTATACTTTGTTTTCAGTCACTTTTAACTTCTTAAAAACGTAAATTCTCTTTTTACTAGGGCTGTGCGATTAATTGATTACTCAAAATTTTAATTAATCATAAAGTAAATAACTCAATTATTCGATTAATTGGAAATTATGATTACTCAAAAGTTCAGTTACTCGAGTAATCAAGATTTTGTATTAACCAAAAACAAAAATATTTGAGTAATTTGCTTTATGATTAATCAACATTTCGAGTAAAATGAATAATCAACATTTCAACTCTTTACATATGTATAAAGTAGTTAATGGTGCATTTACATGGTATGAATCTGTTCATAAGCCGTATGAATTTTCCTATAAAAGAAGCACAAACTCTATGAAGAAATGAATGAAAGCGATATATATTTAACAATTTTGACTTGTATACTAGACAATATTTTTTTTTGTAAACAACAAATAAAAGCATTTTATTTTGTGTTAGCTTCGAAACTAGAAGCTTATTTTTTTGTTAAATGTGCTTTAAAAAGGACCTACTGCCAATAAAGCCTTGTGGATTGCTATTTTTCCATATTTGTAATGCTTCCATTTAAACATCTTTGTGGAAAAACAGTTTTTTGTTCAGAATTGCTTGTTTACGAAACGTTTGGCATAAGTTGAAATCATAGGGATGCCGTTTTCTTCCGTTTCTCAGTGGATTTTATACTTGAATGGGCACCAAAATATGTATACAATACTTCTACATAACTTCGTTTAAAGCACAAAACCGCGCATAAAGGAAATGCAAAACCTCGTATGGGAGGTTGCCTAAATTTTAAAAACGGTTCTATCTTTTAAACTTAATAATCTTCTCTCCTTATGTCTAAGTCGATATTTTATTATATCGATATTTTATTATAAATGGCTAAGGGCTTGATGTCAGGAGCTTCCGATGACCAAATATCTTTTTTGGCACAAATTTCAGTTCCGAGGTTTTGCAGAACCACGATACGCGCTTTTGTACTTTAAACGACGAATATGTATATCGCTTGAACAATATGTTAGTGTTTGGCCTAGCTTCTCCTCCGATATGCGGCGTGCGTGATTTTGTCACACAAAGTAAAGGACAGTTTTACGCCGACTCCGAACGGCAATTGTATTTTAATGAGAAGTTGTTTCCATGACAGAATACACTCGGAGGTTTACTATTACCAACAGAGGGGCAACCACTATTAGAAAAACTGGGCTTGAACTCGGGCTCTGCGTAATGCTCTACAGCAGCCGGCACTACTTTTACATATATTGCTGGTATATTCAAAATACTATCCCGAACTTCGGAGTGTATATATGTAATATAAAAAAGAATGAGAGGTACTATTAGAAAATGTACCCAAAATTCTGGAGCAAATGAAAAAATGCTCATTGAAAATAGTTCACATGTATAAATTAAAAGATATAACTTAATAGGTTACAGCGCTAAACAAAAGGAAAAGTTAGAAAAAATAACAATGCGGTTTGAAGGAAACATGAAGCCATAAAATGCTTGTTTGTTTCGTTAATACTCTGAACTTTGTAAGATATGGCACTGTATTATTTGCAGTAGTTTGCAAATATTCACTAATGGTTCTAAAATCGCAAACATTTTCGTGGGATGTTTTTGTTTGATTTCGAATTGAAAATACATTACGATCATATTGTACCGAAATAAGTGCGGTATCCCTGCATTTTTGTAAAAGCCAGAAAGAAGCATAAACTGTATGAAAATTGAAAGGGAGAAGTATACATGCCTTCTATAATTTTGACTTATATGTATATTTGGCAAGTCTTTGTGTAAACAACAAAAAATACAATTTTCATTTCTTTTCCAGCTTGGAAAAGATAGGCTTATTTTTACTTAAACGTGATATAAAGCTCATTAAAATGTTCTGTAATGTCTTGTTGTAAGTTTGTTATGATAGTTCTTCGTATTTTTATTGTCCACTAAACGTGAGTGGCTTCAATTTAAAAAGTTCTAGTACAAAGAATTTTTTTGTTTTGAATTTGTTTGTTTATTGTTTTTAATTTTTAAAATTCATACTTTTGACATGTATGTGAATGGCGGAGTTGCCGCTTTCCTCCTTTTCGATGGGTTTTTATATTAAAAAGGCATCAAAATGGGAAAAACCCCCCTTGGTATCTCTGCATCTGTTAAACTTTTTATGGGAAGATGTATGAAAATTCAACTTGCTATAATTTCATATGCTTAACAGTATCACAACAGTATGTTTACAGTATCTCCCCATAACTTTTCATATGAAAAAATTTATTATATGCATCCCACTCCATATCATTGAATTCCTCATTAGAACATGTAGTCCCTCTATTTTAGCGTATCAACAGTTCATATGGCTTCATACCATGTAAATGCGCCATAAAGTTCTTTGATACTTTGAAACAACGTTTCTGTTTTTAAAAATTAAAACGAAAAATTTTTTCATATACAGAATGTAAAAAAGAAAATAGCATTTTCCAAAGTAACCTCTTTTAACGAGCAAAATAATTTTTTTGAGTAATCATATTTCAAGTAACTCGATTAATCATCTTTTTGAGTAATCAAAATCTTGATTACTAGAGTAATTGATTAACCAACTTGCTCAAGTAATCGAATAATCGCACAGCCCTACTTTTTACACATATCACATCAACTTTAGTAAATTTGTCAAACCTCAAGCTAGACTTATGAGCTGTTGTTGTTTTCTGTACAATAAGCTAAGTACTATTTTCATCGCGGATTTTTCAAATAGGCCCCCATTATAGTTGTTATTGCATTTCATATGCAAAGGTAAGCATTAGTGTGCGTGTGTGCTCATATGTTAACCGATATGTAAACTTTCACACCCAAATTAATTATTTTTAACATTTATATATCATATTTTAAACGTAGAAAGTAATTAAAAAAAGTTTTTAATTAATCGCACGAAATCGGCACTTCGTTACATAGTGCGTCGGTCTTGCCAATTTTATGCAGCTATCACCCTTAATATATGTTGAAAAATGTAGTTCTTTAATAGCGAATTTCTCTCAATTGTTCGCTTTGATTCAATACTGTTTATAATTCAAACCTGTCGTAATTGATATAAAATTGCATAAGATGTTTAATGAGGCGCCTACCAAATTTTGTGGAAAGCTGAATTTTGAAAGAAATATATTCAGGGCCTTTCTATATATTTGTATATCGTCACCTGAAGTGCAAAATAACGTAACATCATCGAACTGAAATTCAAAAATTCGTAACTTATAAAAAATTCAAAATTCACTTTTTGATTACTATGATGGATTTCATCAAATTACAACTCCCCACGTCGTTTTATGGAAAAATAATAATTAGTCACGACTTTTTCCATTTCAGTAGCGATGTTGTTACGTTATTTTGCATTTCAGGTGACGATATGTATGCATTTGTTAGTAAATGAGACAGAAATACTTACATATATCGCATCGGTACACACATCTATTTTTTCTACATAATCGATTTTTTTTGAGAAAAATATAATTGCTTCGATAGGGTGTATTCAAACCTCCATTACACACTTTATAAAAGTAATTTAGTTATGAGTACTGCTTAGACGCACGCCCCTAGTTGTGTGTGAACTAATTATAGAAAAATTATATTACGTGCTTAATAAAATTAAAACGAGTATTAATTTTTTCAATGAATAATATTTCACAATTTTTAGAATTAAAATAGTTGTCTTTCCTCAGCTATCGATGGCTAATTAACATTTCGTAGCGTTTACCTTCACATCTATATATTCTGATTATGTTAAATAAGCATACTGCCAAAGAGAATAGTTAAATAAATTCTCTTCACTAATCGCTAACTAATTTATGTTAGAATTAAAAATATTCGTATAAAAATAATAACCAAATTAAATAAACTATGGTAGTGGAAAATCCTAGTCAAAGAGAGGAAGGTTTCAGGGACACTGTGTAGATTAATAACTTTTCCTCTTCTTATATTTTAACACATTTATGACTTTCTAATTTGTGATTGAAGAGAGTTTCTGCGCAACTCCGTTCACAGTCTTTGATTTTAGGACATCATTTTCATATGAAAAGACAGTCTCCTTTCCATTTTCATAGACTCTGCAATTAAAAAAAAGAGGTGTCTAATCGCTCAAGCAGTGCAATTTATTTGCTTACCGTTTAGTCATCAGTTTTTTACCATTAACGAATGTCGTTGAGGTGGAAGTGCGTTTGACTGCCCCATTTCCCGGACCATTCCTTCCATTTGACATTGAGTTGATTGAGCTAAACGAGGTGAATCCATTTGAAGGCATCATGAAATCCATCATAGAATAGTTCAGCATAGGCGCTCCAAATGGTGAAGCCAATTTTGTACCAACATGCTGACGTCCACTGCTACTTAGCCCATTATTCTGTCTATTCGACTGTGGATAGCCATGTACATCTATAACACATATTATTAAATAAATAAAACATAGATAAACTTTGTTCTGTTACCTTACCTCTAAACAAATCAGCAAATGGCGAATTTACACCAAAAAATTCACGGAAAACTTCCTCTGGTGGGCGAAATACGAATGGAAAACCTCCCATTATATCAAAATCTTCGAAATCATGTGTATGATGATGACGCGAAGACCGATGATGGCCACGGTCTCCCAGCAAACCCTCTTTACCGTACTGGTCGTAAACACGTCGTTTTTTTTCTGTAATATTTAAAAATGCATAATTATCAAATAAAACAAAAAGCAACTAATACAGTGTTAACAAACAAAGTTAAAAAAATTCAAATTAGTTGAGGTCGTTCGTCTGGTAGAATCACACAGTGCCACACAAAAGAATGAAGTAGAAATAGCTGAGAAGTGATGTTAATTTTCTTGTAGGTATTGTCGAATAAAACAGGAATCGAAATATGAAAATTTTCTAAACACCCATAAAATCATCACTTCGATGAGCATGCAAATAAAAAGGTCGGTTGATACTCCACTTAATTAGAGGCTTCTAAGTACGCAAAACCGGTTTAAAGTCAAGTTTTGGGTAGTGTTGGAAAATTTCATATTTAAATTCTTGTTTTCCTGGACAAGAAAAGTAACATCACTCGTCCGCTTTTTGGAGTGTCGCACAGTGTAATTCACGTAACTGTGTTTACAGTATATCTGCCACTTGAAATTCTCAAACGCTTTCGCAATACTTCGCGAACTGTTAAGTTTAAGCTTAGCAATATTTTAGGCAAATTTTGTTTTATTATGCCTTTATATAGAGAACATTTTTGAAGAAATCTGAACCACTATAACGATTTTATTTTTTCACTTCGAACGTTTGTATTTCTCACAATTTTATGAGAAAACGTTTTTCTTTAGTCACTATTACTAGAAGTTTATTCTAAAATAAATAAGGAATTTATTAAGTTATGACTGTATTATGAAAAGAAAACATGTTAGAGCACCGCTGTATAACTCTTTGTCTAACAAATACCATATGTAAACCTAAATTTCGGTATCACTCATTTTCTGCCTTACAAAGTAATTTTTTATATGGAATATGTGCATAATACCGTCAGCAAAAAAAAATACATCAAAAATCAACACGATTTTTTTGCAACTTAAAACTTGCACTTTATTATACTAGAATTTAATAAGCTGTAAAACTGCATACCAAAAATTATTCTAGAAATTAAAATTAAAATGCATGGATTTTGTACAAAGTCTGAAATTAAGATTTATATGGTATTTATTAGATAAAAAGTTCTAGTTTTATATAAAAACAATTAACCTTAAAAAAATCTAAAGAAAAGTAGTCAAATCCGGTAAAAATGTGTATGTGCTAACGTTTGTCGCGGGGTGTATATAAAAAATCATATCTAAACAAATCAGAAGTATGGAAGATATATCCTATATAGCTCCAATCTAAGTGATTTTGACTGCTGTGTGATCGGTATGTAAACCGGTAACATAATTTAATGGGTTTAGCTTCCTACATAAAGGAGATATATCGCAAAAACTGGTATCTGAACAATCAGTGGTATAGGAGATAGAGCTTATACAGCATAGATTTTGACGATTTTCTCAGTAAACTTTGTAAATTTATCGGCTACCCATATAAAGGAGTTTCACAGTGAAACCCCATATCTGAACAATCAGTTGTATGGAGGCAATAAATAGGTTATAGTGACCCGATCTTTGTTAATTTTACTGTAAACTTTCTGTTGATAATTAGTGAAAATAATGCGAAATTTCATGTTTCCAGCTGTATAAATGGAGAAGTTATAACAAAAAACCTCAACAAATCTGAACAATCAGTTGTATGGGAGCTATATGTAATACTGACCCTATCTTTGTAATTTTCACTATCAGTTTCTGTTAATAATTAGTGAAAACAGTGCGAAATTGCATGTTCCTAGCTGTATATTTAAACGGAGGTGTTATAACGAAAATTCTCATAACTGAACAATCAGTTGCATGGGAGATATATGTTATAGCGACCCGACCTTTGTTATTTTCACCTAAAGTATTCAATTAATAAAGAGTGAAAACGGTGCGAAATTTCATATTCCTAGCTAAATAAATGGAGAAGTTATAATAAAATATCTCATATCTGAACAATCAGTTGTATGGAGGCTATAGGTTCTAGAGACCCGATCTTCGCCATTTTCACTGCAAGTATTCTTTTGATAATGAGTGACAACAGTGCGAAATTTCACCTTCCTATCTACATAAATGGAGGAGTTATAACTTATATATCTTATATCTGAAGAATCAGTTGTATGGGAGCTAAAGGTTATAGTGACCCGATCTTTGTAATTTTCACAATAAGTATTATATTGATAATGGGTGGAAATAATGCAAAATTTAATGTTCCTGGCTGCATGAATGGAGGAGTTATAACGAAAAATCTTATATCTGAACAATCAGTTGTATGGGAGCTATATGTTATAAAGGTCCGATTCTTCCGGTTCCGACAAATGATTAATACATTATAAAAATACACCAACCTACCAAATTTCATCCGGATATCTCGAAAACTGAGAGACTAGATTGCATACAAACAGACGGACATGGCTGAATCGACTCAGCTCGACGTTCTGATCATTTAAGTATACATTTCAAAGGGCCTATCTCTTCTTATTCCGGTACTTACAAACATCGGACCAAAGCTATAATACCATTTCATGCTCATGAAAGGTATAAAAACAAGTTTTTGTTTATTCTGCATTGAAATAGGGAAATAGCATTCATTTGAATTTTAAAACGAACACGGGTCAACCCTAATGTGACCAACTATTTCATAGCTCAAAGAAGTACAGAAACTGAAAACCAAAAATAGTATGCAAGTAATGAGGAAATGGTAAAAGCAGAATATACGAAAACGGGAACGGTGTACCAATTCAACAAATAAATCGTATTAATTAAAAATCTATACTATTTATTATTCTAAGACAAGGAGCTTATTCCCAGCGATCTACTAATCGTACAGAGGCAGAGAATATGTAGTAAAAAAGGACGCCCACAGCCAGGGTTCGGATTTGCCTCATTTTAGCCCCTCGCTCGCTCGTTAGTTTGCTCTGAGCTTGAGAAACTCACGAGCAACAGGCGAGGCTGTTTGCAAACGAGCACTCGTTAAGTACGAGCGCACGCGGTGAGCAGTCAGCGAGGGCACCCTGAAATTGTGCATACGAAATAATGCATATGAAAAAAAACCGAAATAATGCATACGAAAAAACCGAAATAATGCATATATGCACAGTTTCGGTTGAAAACCGAAATAATGCATATGAAAAAAACCGAAATAATGCATATATGCACAGTTTCGGTTGAAAACCGCAATAATGCATATTAGGAAAACCGAAATTATGCATATGCACTCTTTCGTTTGAAAACCGAAATAATGCATATGAAAAAA